TTGCGATTACCACGCCTGCTCCAACTGCCTCGTAGCTTATAACCAGTAACGTCGCGGCGAAGGCGAAGCTACATCCTCTAGAAAGTCTAGTTCTGTATAATGACAGAAGACTTGTAAAACAAACTGCGAACAAGTTCGTACAGTATTCCATGTCAGAGGTACAATGCAGCAGACCATTTTACCGAGCGGTGTCAATTAGCTTGTTGAATAGCTCAGTAGCTCTCTACTGTAGTTGATCCAGCGTGCGTTTTAAGTGCTTGTTCACTGCGCTGCAAGCAAGGCAAGCAAGGACAGACAACCTCGGACTCAGCTGCGTGTCGCGCGATTCCGACGCAAATAGTGTGACCAACATTTCCTTCTGAAGTTGCACAAAGGTTACGTGGCAGCGTGAGAAGCTGCCGATTGATAACGGTCGAGTTCATTTTTTCTGGTGAAGGTCCGGACGTTGCTTCTACTGACGTCACTCGTGGCACACAAACTTATTCGGTTACTTTTGCACCGGTAGTACATTCTTGGTGCTTGTTGACGTTGTCTTGGCCACTAACGCGATCTATGTACCGCAGTAGGTTTAGAACAAGCCACATTTTTAGGCCGGCCAACCATCGTTATCGCCTTGTTATACGTCACGGGTACCTCGCAAGCTAATGGTGCGATGGGGCAAATGCGATCGTGTTGTAAGTGTTTGGTTTTGAGAAGAACCGTGGTGCAACTTCATGCTTGGATTTTCCGACCACTCAGTCGCTCAAGTGTCGGATTGAGGCTCGGCATGACGCCCCAATCACCATCGGCCGTCAACATGCGCGAAAGATCGCGTTTTGGGTGAGCATGGATGGGACTAAGAACATCGCGAACCAAGATCAGCGAAGTCTGACAAGCAATAGCCAGCTACAGTATTTAAAAATGTACTCCCAACAGCGCTTAAAAAGCAAGGAACTTGCTGCTGCCTTGACGGCTAAAGGCGTTGTTTCAACGGCAGAAGAAGGCGAAAACAGTAAGACGTGATTTTACTACAGCTGCACAAACAGCCCGCGTCGACCTGCGACGCGGTGCGTTTGGCTCCACGTGGCCGCGCTGTAGCAGGCCGTCGCGTGACCAACGTCACTGACGACGGTTCACTCCGGAAGATCCTTCTGGTGTGCTCGGTGGGACATGGCAGATTGGCACTTCCGACCTTGGGGCACTGCCTTGCCAGATCCGCTGAGCTACCGCACTAGCATCCGTTGGAGTGGTTAGCAAGAAAAAGTTGTATTCTGCAAGGCAGAGCGAGCGCTCCACTATGAGCGCGCTCTACGTTTCTAGCGCGCGCAGACACCATTTGAGGTCCGTGTGACGTGGGTGCCACGTGGTGATAACGACCAATCAACGATCAATGATTAGGGTACTGTTGGCTGCAGCCGATGCCGGAACAAACGTCCGACTGGCTTTCTGCGCAATTCCGTTTGTTTGGATCGCTCTCAGTTTTCAATTTCCTCACAACATGGCCGACGAGCACTTCATCACGGTCACGACACCCAAGGCCGGCGCCAACATTCTCGTTGACGTGCCCAAGACGACGCTCGAGTGGAAAAACATCACCAAGGTCGTCAAGGTCAAGAACCCGTCAACCAAGTCGGTCGACGACAAAACGATTCTCAACAATGTCAGCGGCATCGCTGTCCCCGGCGAGCTTATCGTGCTCATGGGCCCGTCCGGCGCCGGCAAGTCGTCGCTCCTCGACGTCATCGCTGGCCGCCAAAACGACTACACGGGCTCCGTCCTCGTTAACGGCCAAAAGTGGACAAAGCAAATGAAGAAGCTCTCATCGTACGTCATGCAGGACGACGTCTTCTACGAGACGCTGACCGTCAAGGAACACCTCCTCTTCCAAGCCGAGCTTCGCATGGGCAAGACCTTTGACGCCGCCCAGCGCGAAGCCCGCGTCAACTACGTCATCGAAGAGCTTGGTCTCGACAAGTGTCGCCACTCGCAGATTGGCGGCGGCCGCATCCGTGGCATCTCGGGCGGTCAGCGCAAGCGCCTTAGCTTTGCGACCGAGATCTTGACCAACCCGTCGCTCTTGTTCGTGGACGAACCGACGTCGGGTCTCGACAGCTTCATGGCCGAGTCGGTCATCCAACAGCTGCAGACGCTCGCGCGTGAAGGCCGCACGGTCATTGCGACGATCCACCAGCCTGCGTCGGAGCTCTTCGCCCTCTTTGACAAGCTCGTGTTGCTCTCGGATGGTCAAACTGTGTACAACGGCAAGGCGTCGGACGCGGTCGAGTACTTTGCGTCGCAGGGTTTTCC